TTTTTGTTTTCGAGACGTTACTTCATACAAAGATAAGAAGTTTTGATGACGTTGGCAATGAAAAAACTATCTCTTAAAGACCAAAAGCTGTGAACAATTAAGTCCATTTTCAGGGTCAGTATTTTTCCCAACTCGTACACTATATCATTGTATGTATACGTAGCGACGTCTTGCGGGCTTTTAGTGAACTTACTATATGCATAGCAGGAAAATTATCTAATCCACGTATTACTAAAAAAATACCTTACAAAATTTATTTTTAATAGATACAACGATAGGTTTCAAAATTTAACTGTATCTGTTGCAATATTAGTTGAAACGGGATATATAGCAGTTGCTGCTCCTTTGGTGACACAAAACATGTCAAAAAGAGCAAAGCAAAGGTAAACAGGTCCACAAAACACTCCACAGAAAACTTTACCTTGAGCAACACAATTAAACCCGTAACAAAAATCAGGGGAGGGAGATGGGGGAGAACTCAGTTACTCCGTAAGGGTTAGCAGTTGCTGTTCCTTTGGTGACACAAAACAGGTCAAACATCGGGGTGAACTCTGTTACTCCGTAAGGGTTAGCAGTTGATGTTCTTTTTGGTGACACAAGACATGTTGCACATAGTAATTAAAAATCGATAACAAGTCGCATTCGATGTCAAAATATAGAAAAGGAATGCTGGATGCTGACTTCAAGCAGAATGTTTCTGTTGCCATCTGTGACAAAGAAATTCCATAACGGCCAATCACATCGTGGTGGCGTCCGTAAAACTGTGACACTCAAAGAGAGGTTTTCAACTTCAATTCATTTAATATATAATTAATCAGATATTTCTTTCCAGCGATAATCACTTATGAATCATCATCTGTCGATACTTATAGCTTGGCATTACACATGGTTATGTTTTTCTCAGACTGCTTATGATATTTTGTACGGATTAATTAGTCTTATGAAGCAATCTCTTTTTTAATGATTTTTACAGTTTGTTTTAATATTGTAATGTTACACCACTGTCTCTGGTTAGGCTAAATGTTAAGAGCTCACAAAAATGTTTAACCCCTCAACATTATCTTTGCATCAGTCCTTAGCCAATGGCCGTTGGTCTAGAGGTGTCGTCGGTTCGGTGGGTCATAGTTGTTTTCGTTTAATAAAAGTTGATGTCAATCAGGCCATAAGTTGTCTCGTGGGATTTTTCTAGCTTATCAACTAAATACGGTATGGATTTTGCAAGTTATCGAAGACCGGACGGTGAGCTGTAGATAATCACATCATCATTCTATGATCTGCGGTGGATTGTTGTCGCATTGGCAACCAGGAAGTATTTAGTACATATGAAATCGAGAGATTTTTTTCTGAATTTATTACATTTAATAAGGGTTGTTTATTTTCCTGTTATTAAAAACTACGATGTTCTGCATTCATTAGACTTCAATGACATATTACGCATGTCTTTATATTGATCTATGCTTATTTTGATGAAGTCGATATGACAAAGTAAAGAATCTCGTCTTAGTTCTTGTCTTAGTATTTTTGTCCTTTTAAGAATTTGGTGTTTATTGTACATTAATGGTAGTTTATTTTTACATTTTTCGATCTAAATTTTGATCTAAATTAAAAGTGGGGAAAAACATAACTTTAAGCAATTTCTTATTTCAAAGGGACACCATTCCGTTTAAATCGCTCTTACAGAACGAAGTTGAAATTCGATCTGTAACTTCCTATCATTTTATATCAAATATCTAATCAATTGAATCAGGCATTTCAGAAAAAAGGCAGAAAATCAGTGCAAGCATATCGCTACTGAATTGAGAAGAAAACACACCAAATCGGTCAACAAGTCCACAATGGTGACCGTTAAACTTATGTACCGTCGATTTCATTCACATTTCTTCACAACCAAGTTTGAGCAGTTTTTCGTGTCAGGAGCACATCCCTGTAGTCCATATAATGCGAACATGCACGAGCGTAACGTATCAATTGAATATGAAAAGCCTATGCGATAGGACAGAGGGTATATTACTGATGAGAAATGGGAAGGTGACAATGGGAAAACTGAAATCATCACGTTTGACACAGATTCTAGCTTGAAGTCGTTTATTTGTGTCTATATCAAGAAAGAGAGCATATCAGTTTGATAGTATCCTAAATTTCAATTTTTACTTCAAAAAATGAGATGCAAGCACTCACTGTATTATAGGTTCTTGAGTTACAAGACATCATCAATATATCTGAAAGTGATGCAATGAACTTGACAAGATCCCATTTCTTTTTTGTCTTTGAGATGTTTTGCTTCATACATAATCATCTAATTTGGATGATCATGACTGTACCAGTATATGTGAGAATCCCCGATTTGCTTTGAATTCCAAGTTCTTTTGTTAAGCATTCAAAAATAGTTATTTAAGTTTTGTCTACTGAAACAACAATGTGAAGAGAGGATAATGCATCTGAAAAACGGGTTACTGGAAGTGGCTAGAAACCAGTGTGTCCTTGGTTTATCGTATTTTATAATGCGCTTTTGAATGCATAACCGAGAAATCCTGATCCATTCAGATAAAGTGTCCAGTTTTGTTCATCTAGCTCGCGCAGAACTATTTCTAGAATAGTCCTCAATTGGATCATCAATAACATAAAGTTAATTTATTCCATAAGATAAGATAGGTAATTTGATATTTCGTGTAGTTTGGTTGTTCATTATTCGATGTCAAGGTACTCTGTCATCAATCTGATTTAAAATAGATACTGTGTCTAGGATTTGCTTACAACGGTCTGACAACACCCTGTTCTACTTTATATTCTTGTAATTATAACATCAGGCAATGAAATTTCAAACTTTAAAATTTTGAAGGTGTGTTTCATAACGACAAAACCAATGCCAGTATCCCAAAAGATCTTTAAAACAGAAAGTAGACCGGAGCTTTGTCAGATTCCTGTAAGGAAAGAGTGTACACATGATCGGTTTTTCAATCCCATTGCCCGGTCATAACCTGTCCAGCATTACAATACGTGTATGGGGGATGATGCAGATGAGCAATCGGGACGTTTGGAATTAACATCTTTGAGGGAACGGTACCTATACTCTATTGTGATTGTTAAGGTGGTACCTAACACTACAGGGAGATAACTCTGTAAAAATCAGCTAAACGTTTTAATTAGGTTGTATTGTTAAGGAAATATTAAGCTTCTCAATGATCAAAATTAGTGTTTGTCAAACTGCTATATAACCAATGAAATTTTTCTGATAAAGTGGTTGGTTCAAATTTTTTGAAATTTTTATATTTTTGTCAAAGGGTCAAAGTAAACATTTTGTCAAAATTTTATGAAAATTAAACGAGCCAAATTAATATTAGTCAAGGTGTTGGGTACCACCTTAATCTTGGATGCAATGGATTTGATGTAGGTATAAGAAATGACAGGTGTAGTGTTATCTTTGATATAATCAGGTATGTAATATGCAAAATTCAACGCGCACAACACCTGTTTATAATATAACCTTAAGTAGGTACGATAAAGACCGGAAGTTCTCAATTGGACGTAATATGTCTATGATCAATGTTATCTTATTAATATAAAAATCAACGCAATTAAAATGGCATTCAGCTTACGAGTTTATGACATCGCAAAAATTGACAGAGTTCAACGGTATTTCATTTTATAACAATATCAGTAGTTTTATCACCTACTTATAAGTTATAGGCCCAGATTAGATATGCTATGGATCTTCTCCAATAAATTTTGTTAAGGAAAACACACTCAAGAAAAATAGATTAAACATGTTAATTTTGAACTGAAAGATATGACTTTGCTAAACTTGTAGTGAAGGGTTTAAAACAATAAAGAGTTGTGGCATGATTTACAATGCAACAACTAGCCGCCAGACCTAACGCTACTGTCGGACTTGCGTCGAGATAAGCAGTTGAAATACATTAAATTCACGACAAAGAAAAATGATAGTGCGTAGTGCATCCTACGTCACGAAAAAACAACATTTACAGGTGCATGTTGTATTATTCAAACCATCTTTAAATAGTTGGAAAAAAAAAATGCGTTTGAGAAATAAAATCCCTGTCCTTTATTGATCGGCGTATTTATTTCTAAATAGTTTATTTACTTTGATAATACCCCCTAAATGTTGATACCTATTTGTAATAACCACAGCCAACCAGAGAGATGAATCAATAGGTAATAATGTAATCTTTAATTAAATTGTCAAATTTTGCTGATAAATTATAACACTCGTATGAAAATAATATTCAAAAATTTAAACTGAAAACTGAATTCGGATCATTTACCCGCAAGCATTTTATGGATAGGTTTAAATTAATTCAGAACAATCACTGTTAAATTTTGGAGAAATAAAAACCCGTAAAAGATATTTGTAAAATGAGGGGAAAAGCATCAAAATTATTTTAAAAACGATAGATCATCGAAGCAATATAACAGGTTATCAAAAATAAAAACAAGTCTGTAGTAAAGTGTTTATCCCATATTTAAACAAATATAAAAACTCAGCAAAGATACCAGGTTAAGATAAACATTGTAATTGCCAATGTCTTTACAAACATGTCACTTAGAAATTTTGATGACAATGAAATATGGAAAAAAATCGGCCTATTTGTTTTAACAAGTCGACTAAAACGAACGTCGGAATTTTTGTCTGTTGGAAAAAAAATTAAATCCGTAACCAATCAAAAGCGCGAAATCAGATTAAAATTTACTGAACAAATTGTATTTACTCCACATACCTTTTATGTTAGATGAATGTAGTAAACAAGTTTCAAATAGTATAAATATTCTCCAGAAAAGTATACGTTGGCCTTTTTAACGTTTTTGATTCAAGTGTCACTGGTGAGTCTTTCGTAGACGAAACGCGCGTTTTGCGTACAAAATTTTAATCCTGGTATCTATGATGGGTTTCTGTGAACTGGTTTCCATATTTTGTCAATAAAAAATAAGTTTACTTTTTTCTAATTATTCATTTTAGAAATCGCACTATTACTAGTACTTACTTGAAAGCTTAAAATTCTATTTCCTATGACCACACTACAATGAGTTGTATGAATATATATTTGTCTACTCGAGGAAATGTCTCTTTTTATTTAAATATATATGATAAAAAATATTGCTCTTTATTTTTCTTTTTGTAGTTATTGAAAAACAAACTAATTAATATTTCAATCAAACTGTGTCTGTAAATGTAGGCGTCTGGTATACAAAGGTTTTAGTCTGATTGTGACAAAATTAAATTAATTTTGCTAATTTGAAAGTAAAATATTGTACGCTTTCAACTTCAGACCTTAATTCTGATTAATTTTACTTTCGTACAATCGAAATGTCTGTGGATTGACACCAAAATTTCACATTTGTAAAATATTAATTGAATTAACAATCGTTGTCAAAAGAAATAGGTTCGTGTACTATTATTGATTGCATTAACCGCAACAAGTTTTTAAAAAGCAATCAATGTAATAAAAATTGACATCTAAATAATGTAGATAAGTCTGTAATGAAAAAAAATGAACAATCAATATCAGCTGTATAAAAAGTTGTCTTTTCTTCTCGAAATCGTTTATAGTACATGCACTTTAGATAAAAATATTTATGGCAGAACATTTCTACTTATTAGTATAAATTACTAAATAATTGTAATGCAAAAGTGGTTGTTGAAACAAACTACTAAATACATAATGTCATGTGGTTTTAAAAACAGACTACAGAGGTACAAGCCAATAGTTGAACCACTAAGGTAAAAAGGTGATACATTCTGTACTGCCACAAAACAATAAAATACATAAGACAAAAGTCAAAAGTCAAATTAAATATCTCCTGTATTTTTACCGAAAAAGTCTTTGTTAAAAGACAAAACCTATAGAGAATACGACAAAAGCATCCAGACTGAACAAAGAGAGGCAAAATATACCAAAAGAGGCATTCAAACTCATAAGTCGAAAATAAACAGACAAAACCATGGAAAAAAACGAAAAACGACCAAAAGAAAAACAACGGTATACAAAACATTACATAGAAAACTAAAGACTGAGTAACACAAATCGCACCAGGATGGGATAACTACCTTTAAATGTTCACCCTCCAGGGGTCGTATTAGATAAGTTTACTTGATGGGTGATAAGTAGACACAGAGTCACTTTTGAGTTGCATATTCATCACCATTCCATGTCATAAAAACATCGATGTATCGTTTTGTAAATGCTTCGACTAGAAATTTTAACTTGAAAATAATTTTCCCTACAGTTAATCAGAGGAAATAAGTAGCAATTTTAGTACCCATTGGCACGCAACATGCTTGATAGATATATTTTCTACTGATGAACTTGAGCGAATTCAGGTTAAGAACCAGTTTTGTTTATCTCTATATAGTTTTAGTGCTGAAATAAAAGTTGGCTCTTTTATCCAAGGAGTTTTTTTTAACCGGTATGGCATCATTGTTAGCACTGCTGGTTAAGAGAGCAGTGAATTCCACATTTTTGATGTTTTCAATCTCTCCAGCCAAAACCAATCGATCACATATATTGAGGGCATGATATGCTTAACACAATTTCGAAAAGTCTTAACCTCGTATCTGTTCACACTACACGGACCTCATTAGCAGGGGCCTACTCAAAAGCTATTCCGCCAAAGCGATGAGGGAGAACGGCTGAAATCGATACTTCATACGTTTTACGGTCATCAATACAAATTGAATGACCGATGCGATAATTATGTGTCTCAACTCATTACCGACATGTGTTCGCAGTTTAAAATCTTTAGAAACCAGAATAGTAGTTTGGTCTGAAATTTTAACGATTGTGACATTTTGACTAAGAGGGGATTGGCATGGCGATCAATGAATGCATATCAGGAGACGTTTATACTGTCAAAGCATCCAGTATTGCTCTTTCTGTGTTCCTGTGATTTTCTCAGTTTTTCTTTGTTACCTTGACTGTTGTCTTAATCGATTAAGGAGATTCGAACAGCTGGAAAAAAAGTATAACAAAAATACTGAACTCCAAGGCAATTTCAAAAAAGGGAAGTCCATAAAAACTGACAAAATCAAACGCCATCAATCAACGGAACAAGTGAAAAACTACTGCCATAGTCCTGACTTGGTACAGGAATTTTCCGAAGAAAATGGTGGGTTAAACCTGGTTTTATAGCTAGCTAAACCTCCCACTTGCATGACAGTTTATAGTTCCGTTATATTGACGAAATTGGGTAAGCAACCCAAACAGACATAATATGTTAATGTGGCAATAATTGGAATCCATCATTTTTGACTGTGTAAACAAACATCACAGACATACAACATAACTAACTAAAAAATTCAAATAAACATACAAATTAATCTAACAAAGACGCCAACAAAAGTTGCAGTAAGACTCATCAGTGACGTCAATTAGACATTGACGTCACCAACAAAAAAAAAGGTTTTTGTCGTTGACAGTACATACCGTATATAGTATACACTTTCTCGATAAAGTAAAAGTTAATTAGAAAGGAATACAAGAGTGAACAAAATAGAAACAACACTTTAAGAACCCTTTGTGTCCAGGACCCACCTGAATCTACTATTGCCTAAATTAACAACGGGTAAGAAAGTACCTATAAAAAACTAGAAAATCCCAAGTTGAAGAATTGAACGCTGAAACAGTTGGAAATGTATCTCTATTGACATGGATTCAATGCAGTTTATTGTAAAGACAAGTTCATGGTTGAACGACTACCTTAGGATTTCCCCTTTTAAGTTTATCTTCTATTTAAGCCTCTTTCAGCGGCTTCACATCTTATTGAGTGTAAGTTAACAGTTTATTGTAAAGACATGTTCATGGTTTAACGACTGCCATAGGATTTCCCCTTTATCTTCTATTTAATAAAGGCAACAGTAGTATACCGGTGTTCAAAAGTCATAAATCGATTGAGAGAAAACAAATCCGGGTTACAAACTAAAACCGAGGGAAACACATCAACTATAGGAGGAAAACAAAGGAACAACAGGAACACTGAAGTGCAACAAAAACAAACGCCAACATACATAGAAACGAACTATTTGATAACAACTGCCATATTCCTGACTTGGTACAGGACATTTTAAGAAAAAATGGTGGGTTGAACCTAGTTTTATGGCTAGCCAAACCTCCCGCTTACATGGCAATGTTAAAAATATATATCGCTAAAATGACAACACTACGTGACAGAAATACAGCACAAACACTCATCACAGAGAAACACACAAACAAATAATATAATAGTCAACACAACATGCAAACCGCAGAACAACAGCGAACATCTTCAAGCTTCTTTCACCGGCTTCACGTCTTATTTGGTGGAATTTAACAATTTATTTGCCATGCAAGTTGTTGTTGGATGATTGTTTTCAACACTTTTATTCATACCAGTTGATGTCCAAAACAAGACGAAGACAAACACCAAACAGGTCCATCATTTATTGACGGATGACTTGGTGCCAAAATTAAGCCCAAGAGCAAATATTACATGCAAATATTGACGAGAACATGTTGATGTGGTATGAATACTAACCTGCTTTTGTACTAGTCTGACATGCTGAACACAATTGTTTAACGCGCAATATCACAAGGGAACAGTCACCATTTATGTTATTGTAACTCCTAGCCAACCAGTACTAGTCATTCCCCTAATTCCTAAGTCCCACAAAAATTTGTGTGCATAATTTCAAATCATATTTTGTCTTCCATTTAGGTACACATGAGCTATGGGAGTGGAAACAAACTTGATATAATAGTATTGAATATCAGGTAAATTACTGCACTTTCTTTGCAATTTTTCGGCAGATGAAATGAGTTAAAAGTGTGTGTCAATGTCAGTGGGTCACTAAATTTGAATAGCAATTTCTTTAAAATTGCAGTTTAATGTTTTTGGCAAATCTTATTCGGTTTCCAAAATTTAAAAAAATAAACCACCAAATACAGATTCCTCTTACATAGTTTATCCTTGCAGTTCCTGTATAAAACATCTGAAAAATAGATCTATACAGATAAGATCTTATTCCCCAAAACACAGAGATATGTCTCGCCTTTTTATCATTTTGATAGTAAAATGCAAATATTGAAATTAAAATAGCAATGTTTTAAAATGTAAGTTATGCAAAATATTCAAAGTCAATAGATCATGACTGAGGGGGCAGGTCAAATAATCTCTATGGAAATGAGATGTGCCAATGTTAATACAACTGCATACCAAATATTACTGACCTACCACTAGTGGTTCCATATAAACTGACCTTATCACAAACTAATATATGTAAACTAAGCAAAAGTTTCAAAATCAATAGACCATGACTGAGGTGGCGGGGCCAAATAATCTCCAATGGAAATGACATGTGCCAATGTTAATACACTGCATTCCAAATATTATTGACCTACCTATAGTGGTTCCCTATAAACTGACATAATCACAAACTAATACATGTAAATAAAGCAAGTTTCAAAGTCAAAAGACCATGACTGAGGGGGCGGGGCCAAATAATCTCCATATAAACGAGATGTGCCAATACTTATACAACTGCATCCCACTAAACACATAACGTTCAACGAACGTTGTGGATTGGTTCCTGGAAGGTTATTTCGGACCTTAACGTTACACGAACGTTGTGAGTACGTTAAAATAAAACGTTACGATTCAACGTTCTAGGAACGTTTTTTTAACGTTGTGTGGAAGTTTCAATTTTGGTATGTTACAAATTATACGTTGTAGAAACGTTGAATTTTTGTTACTTTTTAACGTTACTTGACTAACAGTCTTAAAACGTTCGAACAATGTTCCTCATTTTTTAAGAAAATTTAATCTTTCAAAAAAAAAATTAATTTTAAATTAATAGCAAAAATGCAATTTAGTAAGATGTTTGCCATCATGCATATTAATCAAACCTTTATTTTGTTTAAGAGAGTTTGCCTGATTAAAAGTTAAAATTTATTTTTCTCATTATTTATTATAACTTTTTTCTCTCAATTTAATTTGTGAAACATAATTACTAATCAGAATGATATTTGATACAGCCATTATGTAATATAGATACAATGAATAAGCGTTG